AAGCATGTAAACCAACAAGAAACTAATTTTAATGCACACCTTCACAAAATGCCAATCTTTCAAATAGAGAGTGGACTTGCCATTCGTATCGCATGTAGAATCATCAGTTTGCTCCTCAGCAGAATTCGGACGCCATTGACTAACAAACTCTGAGACTGACATCTCTAATCTTTTCTGATCTGTGAATTCTCTAGTACCACAATCGGCAACCTATAGATGACCAACATTAACATTAAGCAAATAGCAAGCCGATATTGAATGTAATGATAACTGAACCATCATGAACATGCCACCAAGAAGAATTAATCTATCACCTGTATGACCTAGTAGAAATTTAAGCTTTTAATTCTACTTATTCTCCAAAATAAACTTAAAGTATAGGTTCAATAGTCTGCACGATCAACATCAAGGCATGTTTTCTAATGAAACAAAAAATAATGTGAGTAGAAATCTTTTCAAAAGTAATTAACAGCTTAACATAATGTAACAAAGTGATGATGCAATGTAATAATCCTTTATACTATAATGTTTTGTTACACAATTGTACATGATAACATAACAAAATCATAATTACAGTACCATGTTAGTTTATTTAAATCTATTATGTAATTTAATTTAGAAATAAGTTGGCAAATTAGACATGAAAAATATTATTTTTACAGTATTTGCTAAACTTTGGTTAAGGTGCGTCTGGCCTTACACTGATCAAGGGCAAGGTCCCTAGCTAGACATTGCTTGAAGTGCAGTATGGTCTTGGATCCTAATCCATCTCTTGGACCCAACCAAAGCCCAGTCACAAACTCAAATGCCAGTCTGTCAGGCACACGCAAATCCCCAACGTCAGGCATGGTGACATGCTTGGCCTAGTTTGACAAGATGCCAACATGATCTGGGGCTCAAAATTGATTCTAGCATGGTCTAGAGCTTGAACCTGAGACCAGATGTAGTGTAATTGTCCACACAATACACATAAAAGTAAATGTGAGAGAGAGGCATAATGAGCACCATAAGTTTTTCGTAATTTGAATATGGACCTACTCCACCAAGCCAATTGCAAGGTTTTTTAATTATTGAAGTACTCTCTTACAACTAAGGTTATTCCTTTATGTGAGGGAACAGAAAACCCAGGTTACGACAATAATCCAATAATAATAAAACTAGGCTAAAAAATAGGTATTCTACCAGGAACTCCAACCCTTTTACTGTGAACTCTTTGGGAACAATAATCTGTCTTAATAAGAGCTGTAACTCAACAAAAGAACAATCCAGGATACAACCTGGTTAAGAGCATGATTCCATGCTAAATCCCACCTAGGATGGGGCTTGTGCTTGACCTGGCTCAAGGTAAAATCTCATGCTCAAGCCAACCCATGCCACTCTCAGGCTCAAATCCAACACTAAAGCAATCTGGAGCTCAACAAAAGAACAATCCAGGATACAACCTGGTTAGGAGCATGATTCCATGCTAAATCCCACCTAGGAGAGGGCTTGTGCTTGACTTGGCTCAAGGCATAATCTCATGCACAACCCAACCCATGCCACTCTCAGGCTCAAATCCAACACTAAAGCAATCTGGATCTCAACTCAGGTTGGGCACAATCTTGGTCTTGAACTTGGCTCAGCTGGAACACAATCGCTAACCTAAATCTGGCCATAATATATACTTCGACTGAACACACCCAAAACATAATTAATGTAACACCTAAACCCGAAAATTTGGTATGTGATTATTTAATATTAATAAGAAAATATATTTAAAATAATTTAATTTTAATTTTTATGAAATTTTGATGAAAATTGAATTTTGAATGCATTTGAAAATATATTCGAAAATTAGGGTCAAAATAAAAATAAGAGATAAACTATTTAAAAAGAAATTTGAAAAACTGGAGTAAAAACATAATTTTCAAAAGTTCGGCCACATGGACCGCCATGTCAGCAGCGCGGCCAGTCCCCGTGTGCTGTGTGGCAGGCACGCGGACATGCATCCACGCGGGAGGTCATGCGGGCGATCCGCATGCCAACGGATCCAATGGCCCGAGACTGCATCCCACGCGCACGGACGACCTAAATGCGTTTTCTCTTCAGACGTGATTGAACAACTGAATTTGATCAGATCGTACGACGCAGATTAATTTTCCAATAAGAAAAATCCAACGACTGAGCATAGGTCACGTCACTCGAACGGACGGCCCAGATTTAATGAAGAGGAATATTTAAACTTCTCTTCGCAGGGTACCAAAACCCTAACCGACAAAAAGGTGATTGGAGAAGAAGAAGGGGGGCGGCTGAAAAGTGAACCAAACACCGGAGAAAAAGATCGGCCACCGTTGCTGCCGCCGAAAAGGTAAGATTTTTCTCCTTCCGCTCGGAATTGAATCCCGAACCTCCCCATGTCCATAGGAGCCAAAAGGCCGATGGGTGAGCCAGAAAACGCGAGCGGAGCTCGGCCGAACCGCCGTGGCCGAAATGCGAAACCTTCTCTGATGAGTCCCTTCCCGTTTCCCGCTTCCCTCAATTTTTTGACCATCGTGTTACTCGTTTCTTTCTTGTACAGATTACCCAAAGAAAAATCCTGACTTCAAAGGAGGAACGGTGAAGCTGCCGCACCGAGAGACCCCTCCACCAGTAGGGTCTCAATTTTCCCATCTTCCAGCCGATAGAAGCTCCTTAACCTTGTTTTTTGCAAGTTTCTATGCAAAACCGACCAAAAACGGCCAGGCCAAGAGGAACTGCTGTCGTGGCCGGCGGAGCTAGCACCGGAGCACGGCGACGCTGCCATGCCGAAACCCTAAATCGACTAGAAAAATTCAAAAACACTTATTTTGGCATTTTTAGAATATTTTTGGATACATGACACGTATTTTTTATTTTCGCAAGAAAAATCCAGAAAACTCAAGAACCGCCAGAAAACGCAGTTAAAAGTACGGTGTTTCGAACACCGATCTCGGATAAGAATCCCTCACTCTTTTTCTCATTATGGTAAATTAAATTTTAATAATTAATAACGGTGTGTTTTGTCAAAATTAGAAAACTCTAAAAAATTAATTACAGATCACCAGTGGAGCCGGTAACTGATTAGTACAAAATTATTTATTTGTCTATACCGTTTATCTATTGCTACGATATATTTGTTGGCTTGCCGCGTGCACTTTAATTTATAGATATATTTGACCCTTCGTTATTGATTGCTTAACTGTTTTTCTCATTTGTTGAGAGAATAAAATAAATGTCCAAATTAAGTTTTCTTGATTTACGTATTGGTCATTTGCATGACTTACTGTTAATTGGTAAAAATGAGATGTTGGTATGTGATTGGTAATTGGTTGATGATGTGAAAAATATGAAAGGTTTATTAAGTACCCTAGGGAATGGTGTACGGAGCCAGTGCATAGGAAAAACTCTACCGTGAATATTATCTCAGTAGAATGGCGCTGAAAAATCCCATACCAAAAGGGGTTGGGAGGTATAGTTTACTCTCATACTGGACGGGGTATTGAAATGGTGGTATGTTTGGCGCCCATTACCATACGAGATATGGAGACGGCCGGTTAATCGATAAATTAGATATTGAGTCCACGCATAGGGGGGATCGCTATGGACCCCCAGAGATATTGGTAAACAAGTAAAATGGTAAATTTATTGTTAGTACTCATTTTAAGTATGTAATCGAAATGTTATTCGAGTTCTTATTTTCATAGATCGGTTTTAAAAACTCATAAGGGTAAATATGAAATAACATTTTTTAAGTTAAACGAATTTATTTAAAAGGAAGTAAGGGCTTCATTGATTGTTTGATAATTTTTATCAACCTTAAATTTTCCATACTGGTGTTAAGTGTGATATTCTTACTGGTTTAGTGTAGTTCATTTCTCTTATTTAACCATTTCAGATCAGAAATACCAAAATTCAGATCATAAACCATAAGAAAATTATGAATAAAAGTTACTTCCAGAATTCCATCAGAGTTGTCAAATGAAGGTTAACTTTATAAAATTTATTTTATTACGTTTGTTTCAATTATTTATTCTGTTATTTGAATTTCTATAAAAGGACATTCTCGTATTCCTATTGGGTATCCTGATTTACTGTGTAAAAAATATAAATGCTAAATTCTAAAATTATTTCCCCCTTTAGTCACTTAATTCAATACTTCCATATTTAATAAATTCTGGGACGTTACAGTTAGTCATGATCAAGCCAAGGGCATAGTCCCATGACCAACTCCAGCCCTAGCACAAATCCCAGACAACCCAATCTAGTACACAACATAGTTTCTTGCCTAACCTTGACCTAAGTGCAATCACTTGTTTGACTTAACCAAGGGTGTTGTCCCAAACCTAATAGTAACCACGTGTAGTTCCAGAGACAACTAACCTAGACAACAACCTTGACCCTAGTCCCACCCAAATACAATGGTGGGAACAACCTCAAGTTCAGATGTATTCTTTAGCCCAGCTAGGCCCAAGGGTTCTACTTCGAACGCGACCTCGACTTGGATTAAGATCCCATGCTCAACCCCAACTTGAGACACAATATTGAGCCCAACCCTAACCTAGCCTGAGGGAGATCCCAACCCTAATCAAGCAAAGGTAAAATCTCAAGTTCGACAACAATCCACACAAGTTCCCAAGTTTTAACCACGGCACAAGCACAATCTTGGAGTTGACTCAGTGTAAAGAATATCTTTACCTGACACAACCAGGTTAAGAATTGACTATATTGTAATTAAAAAGTAAAGCTAAAGCGTTAGTAAATATACTATTGACCAGTTTGGCTCATAATATAGCTATAACAGTATTAACTAGGATTATGTTTTGCAATGTGATACAAAATATAACACGTAAACAATGCAAACAAATAAATCAACAGAAGAAACTTATGTGGTTTTGCCAATGTGACCTACTCTAAAGGAGGGAGGAATCTTGAATCAGGTCCTAGACATGGAATTAGAAGGTTTTTGGTAATAGAAATAGAAAGAGCAGAAAAAATTACATTTATTCAAAGAAAGATACATAAAATAAGGACTGCAGTGGTTCATAATGTTGGGGTGAAAAAAGTTGCTAAACCCCTTTGACAAGGTGCTATCTTTGCAGGTTTGTGGACAATATGGTTGGAAAGGAATAGAAGCACTTTTGAAGATATGCTGGAGAAAATGATATTTTTTGGTTCCTTATGGCGAATGCCATGGGAAATTTTTAGATATTGTTATTTCTGTGTTACACAGGAACAGGGGCAAATATTTCTTGATTCTCAGTGGGCCCAATTGTAACTATTTCCTATTTTCAAGTTTTCTTCTAGAAGGCCCTAAGGGGATATTTTCTTCTCCGCTATTGTAATTACACTATTTTCATCTTTAACAATATTTCTTTTCCTTTTTTTAAGAAAAAAACAGAGAAAGGTTTTAGATAGTTCTTTTATCTATTTGGTAATATATGTTGACAATGTGTTAATTAAAGTTAAAGATTTTACATATAAGCAACTTAAAAGAGCAATCGAACACTGAATTTGAGATGAAAGATGTGGGTGCAACAAAAGAGACTTTAGGCACGAAGATTCATAGAGATAGAAAAGCAGAAAAAGTATTCTCTTTATAAAAGAAAATACACAAAAACTACAGCAGAGTTCCAGGTATATGACGAATCACCTAAATCAGAGAATGAGCTAGAGTGCATGTTGCATTTACGCTATTCCAATACAGTGGCTGCTTGATCTATGATATGCTACATACTAGACCTTATATTTTACATGTTATTGTTAGTAGATTTATGAGAATCCTTAAAGAACACATTAGGGGGCTAGGAAACAGGTATTTAGATATTTGAACAATACATTGATTGTTTACTTTCCATTTGATAATACTAATGTTATTGGAAAAGTTATTGGTAAGTTGACTCATTCTGAAGGGTTTCAGAAAGGGCAATCAGGATATATCTTCACACCATGCAAGTGCGCTATGATTGGGAAACAACTTTGTTGAACACAAATATTTTGTCAACTTCTAAGGGGGGATAACCAGCACTTACAGAGACAATGGCAAAAGATGTATGGTTAGAAAGTCTTGTTAGCAGCTTTTAAAATAACCAATCACTCAAATAAGCTATTTCCTAATATTCTAAATGTTTAAATTTGAAATAATTGATTAACATCCTATAATTTAACACGATATAGAGCAAGAATTCTGGCTCAAAACTTATCAATCTTATTCACTTTTATTATTTCTCACATTTATTTTAATCATCCATGGACAAATTGGAACAACTTTTATGTTTAGAAGTTTACATAGAAAAGTGACATACAGATTTATAAAGAAAAGTGAGGGTTGTAATCAACTATTTTTAAGAACTAATTTTACTAAAAAGAAAGTTTTACCCTCGCGTTGTTTGGCGGAAAAGTGTAAAGAAAGGTAATTATTTTTTAAATATAAAAAAGAAATATCCTTCAATATATACATCGAAAAAAGAGATCTTATAGATTATCATAAAAGTAAATAACTAAATAATTCTATTTAAATATACAATCACTGAACTACAAAACCCTTCCAATCTCCCAATTTGAGTTAAGAAGGGTTAGTAGGGGTTCAATCAACCCGGACTTAACTATCATTAGCTCTCTGTAAAGCTATCAAACAGTATTAGTATTATCCCACCTTACTTTAGCTTGTATTACTCTCAGAAGTGAATCTCCAGAAAACACTGTAAATGTTTATTATTATTTTTTGAAATAGTAAATGTTTATTATCAAACTCAATTATTTAACCAATCCTAATTTGTAGTTATAATTTATTTCAACCAAACAATAAAGTCGAAGATTTACCACAATTTTGCTCTTATTACAAACATGATTACCTATTAAAAACAAAATGGCTAAGAGTAAAAGGATTCAGAATCCTCATGCTGTCTTTTCTTCTATCTCGGATTAAAACATTCTTGTGAGAAAACAAATCTTCAAGAATAACTTTAAGAGCATAAATAAATCAAATAAAAAAAAAAAAAGAAAAACGCAAACCGAAATAAAGCAAAACACCACGGATCGAATTGAACGCAAGTAGGTACCTGAACTTTGGATTTGCCGAAACAGGTTTCGAAGAACCGGAGATTCGGGTGCCCATTATCTGTTACCCAGTCTTTACAAGCCCCCCAGTCGTCCATGATACCCGTTAACACAACTGGTTGGTTCTTGAACAAATATTTCTCCACGAACTCACTGTACTTTAGATCTTTACCATCAACTTTCTCGATATAGCCACCAATTTCGATACCCATTTTCTCTTTTCCGGAGACACTCAAGCTAAACTCAATTATGATTTAGCGAGGGCTGCTGCAGTTGTCTTGTGCGAGATTTAAAATTAAAGTTGGTAAAATTATTTTTAATCCATGATTATTTAGTATTTAGTGGAATTAGTTGATAAAAAAAGTGTATAATTTAAAAAAAAAAATAGAAGTGATATATTTATTAAAAATAATTTTTAAAATTTTAGGTATAAATTTTTATTAAAAATTAAAGTTATTTTTTAAAAGCTAAAAATTTTAATTTTGATGTTTAAGTTTATTAAAAACGTATTTTAATTTTAAAAAGTACTTTTTATTTTATTAATTTTTGAAATGAAATAAGCAAAACTAAAAATTATCCCAAACAACGTTTATGAGAAGTTTTTGGAGAAAAATATTATGGGAAAAAATAGTAATAATTGTCTTGTAGTAAATATTATCATATTAAAAAAATAAGTTAATTTTTTAAAAATAATTTTTAAGATTTTAAATATAATTTTTATTTAAAGGTTAAAAGGTGGGATCACTGACTCACGGAGTCACTAACACATGTTCACGGCATCGACATCTCAGTGAAAATGGTGGACAACTGAACGCATGCATGGCAGAAGTAGATGGGTGCACGACTGGGTGGAGAAAAATTAAATAATCAACTTATTTAATCTTCGACGGTACATTCTTGTTCCTGTGTCACAAATAGCTCTAAACAAGGGACAATGATAAGTTTAAGCTAAGCAAAGACACTTGAAGAATCCAAAGACCAACCAAATAATCCATGGAGGATGAACCCTCATCGGCCCGTAATCCAGGCCAACCTTCTTCTTCTTCTTCTTCAGATTCGTACGTGCTTCTTATTCTCCTCTGTTTTTCTTCCGGTCCATGTTTATCATTCCTTTTGGGTATTTTCTTCTTTGGGCTTTTCTTTAGTTGGTGGGTTTGATCGCCTGTGCTGTTTGTTTGTTATATACTGAAACATGGGTTTTTGTTCTGTCAAGCATTTTTTTACTGATTTGATTGGTTCGGGTGATGGAGCGTTGTGGTGATTTCCTATCTGAGCTTTTGAAAATTACAGTACAACTGAAGGAAGAAACTTGATCAGCTTGAGGAAATATGTTTTAAAGTTCTCTCTTTTTTTCTTTCAATTTCATTGACCCTCTTTATTGTTGAGTTTCTGGAATTTTAATGAGCTTATTTTACTTGAAGTACTGTTTACTGTCAAAGGAAAATTTAGCCTACTTGATTTATCATGGTAGATTTTCTGATCAGGCTGATAGCTTTTTTGTGTTTCTTTGAAATTTCTGATGTAGTGTAGATCATGGCTTGGTCTTTTTAAACTAAAATTCTAAATTGATTTGTAAACTTATCACGTTTATATTTATCAACATGTATCAAACTGTAAATCTGTGACTTTTGTAATGCATCTTACATATATCGTTTTCTTCGATGTTGGTTATGGTTCATACTTATTTCAGCGATCTAGAATATCATATACATATATAAATGCCAATACATAATGCTTGTTTGTTTTTCCTGGCTCAGACATTTTGTTATCCTCTTGGGAGACAAGAATTTCTGTAATCTCATGTATGCGGATATTCAGTGCTGTTGTCCGCCTTCTGTCTTACAGGAAAAGTAGTAAAAAGGATTATTCCACAGCAATTTTAGAAAGGAAGAGATATCCAAATTGTCTTATTGTTGATGAAACCATTAACGATGATAATTCAGTTGTTTCATGCACCCTGTAACAATGGAAAAGCTTCAGCTTTTTCGAGGAGACACTCTTTTAATTAAGGGGACTAAAACCTCTTATTCAGATGCTGTTTGTTGAGATACGCCAGAAGAAGGTTCAATTATTTCTTTTACATACAGGGAAAGAAGAGAAGGGACACTATTTGTGTTGTTCTCACCGACGAACAATGTGAGGAACTGAAAATCAGAATGAACAAAGTTATCCGACATAATCTTAGAGCGCGACTTGGAGATATTGTTTCTGTGCATCAATGCCCTGATGTAAAGTATGGGAAGCGGGTTCATATTCTTCCAATTGATGATACAATCAAGGGTGTCACTGGGAACTTGTTTGATGTGTATTTGAATTGTATATTTCCTCTTAAGTGATTGATAATGCTGATACCACGATACCACAATCCCATTTTGAAAAGATATATAGTTGTTGAGCTCAACTCAGATCACAGACTACCAATAATTTGAACTTAAGCTTTTAGGGACTAATTATTTGGGTCCAAAAAATTATTGAGCTAGTGGTGCTTGGATCCGGGGCCTTACAAATATTTTCCTTTTTGTGTACTTAAATTCTAATTGTTAGTATGATTATTTCTTGCTTGTTTAACAGCATGCTTTCTGGAAGCAAACCGGCCTGAGGAAGGGAGACCTTTTCCTAATCAGGGGAGGGATGAGGGGCATTGAATTTAAAGTAATTGAGACAGATCCTGGTGAGTACTGTGTTATTGCTCCTGATACTGAGATATTTTCCGAGGGTGAACCAATCAAACGTGAGGATGAGGAGAGATTCAGTGAAGTGGATTATGATGATGTTGGCGGTATCCGGAAGCAGATGGCTCAAATTCGTGAACTAGTAAAGCTTCCTCTTAGGCACCCACAACTCTTCAAAACAATCAGTGTGAAGCCACCTAAAGGTATCTTGCTTTACGGACACCCTGGATAAGGAAAAACCTGATTGTGAGAGCTGTGGCTAATGAGACTGGTGCATTTTTCTTTCCAATAAATGGACCTGAAATTATGTCAAAGTTAGCTGGAGAAAGTGAAAGCAACTTGAGAAAGGCATTTGAGGAAGCTGAAAAGAATGCTCCATCTATTATATTTATTGATGAGATAGATTCAATTGCTCCAAGAAGGGAAAAGACTCATGGTGAAGTGGAGAGGCGTATTGTCTCCCAGCTTTTGACTTTGATGGATGGTCTCAAGACAAGGCTGCATGTAATTGTCATTGCAGCTACCAACAGACCTAATAGTATAGATCCAGCTCTTAGGCGATTTGGAAGATTTGATCGAGAGATTGATATGGGTGTACTGGATGAAGTTGGTAGGTTGGAGGATCTTAGGATCCATACAAAAAATATGAAACTCGCTGGTGACATAAGCAAACACTGACTTTTCATTTAGCTCATAAATTGAAAAAGGACAGCCTTTCATGTTTATTGATATTAAATTTCAGGTTGATCTTGAAAGAGCTGCAAAAGATACACACGGTTATGTTGGTTCAGATCTTGCAGCGCTTTGCACAGAGGCTGCACTTCAGTGTATCAGGGAGAAAATGGATACTATTTACTCAGAGGATGAGAAAATCGATGCTGAGGTGTTGAATTCCATGGCTGTTACCAATGAGCATTTCCAAACTGCTCTTGGGTCCTCAAATCCATCAGCCTTGAGTGAAACAGTGAGTTTCCTTTTGAAATTTGTGTTCTTTCTGATATTGTCAAAATGTGAAACTATTTGGTTCAGGCTAATTGTTAATAAGCTTCTTTGTTTTTTCTTTATGTATGTTCTTATGTATGTAAAGCTTCATTTTCTTAGGCATACCTCAAGAAAATCTACTAGCCTATTCTTGAGTAGAAGAAAACAGAATTGTTGAAAATAACAAATATGCTTTTTTAATTTCTAGGTTGTGGAGGTTCCTAATGTATCATGGGATGATATTGGCGGGTTGGAAAAGATCAAAAGGGAGCTGCAAGAGGTTTGTTATTTCCCTCTGCTTTCATGCTTTCAACGTTCTTTCTGTGACATATGGCTGTTCTCATCACCCCCTTTCTCTATGTTTCTATTTCTACCAGACTGTGCAATACCCAGTGGAGCATCCAGAGAAGTTCGAGAAATTTGGCATGTCTCCTTCTAAAGGTGTTCTCTTTTATGGTCCTCCAGGCTGTGGTAAAACTCTACTTGCAAAAGCTATTGCAAATGAATGTCAGGCTAACTTCATAAGTGTCAAAGGACCCAAGTTATTAACAATGTGGTTTGGAGAAAGTGAGGCAAACGTTAGGGAGATATTTGACAAGGCACAACAATCTGCTCCTTGTGTACTTTTCTTTGATGAGCTTGATTTCATTGCAACACAGGCAATCCCTAACCCTTTTTTTATTCTGACATCATGGATTAATTTATTCATAGGTTTTTAATTCTGATTTACAATCCTGGTTCTCAACTTTCAGCGAGGAAGTCATGTTGGAGATGCTGGTGGTGCAGCTGATAGAGTTTTGAATCAGCTTCTGACAGAAATGGATGGAATGACAGCAAAGAAAACAGTTTTCATAATAGGAGCAACAAACAGGCCCGATATTATTGACCCGGCATTGCTATGGCCTGGACGTCTCGACCAGTTGATTTACATTCCTCTACCAGATGAGTCATCGCATCTTCAGATATTCAAGGCCTGTTTGCGGAAGTCACCTGTAGCCAGCAATGTGGACTTGGCAGCTCTTGCTCGTTACATTCATGGTTTTAGTGGCGCAGATATAACTGAAGTTTGTCAACGTGCCTGCAAATATGCTATTAGAGAAAATATTGAAAAGGTATGATCTCAGAAAACCTGCAAACTTAACAGCACAAAAAGAATACCTATGTTCCTATATGGGTGAATTATTGTAGATTTGGTGTATATTTACACAAAAATTTTGTTGAAATTGGACATGTGTAGATGTTTTGCCCGACAATCTCACAGTATATATGTTAATTTACACAACTTATAGCCTCTCCACTTTCATAATAGTATATGTTTCGTGACTTATTGGATTCAATGGATATTACAGGATATTGAGAGGGAAAGGAAGAAGAGAGAGAACCCTGAGGCAATGGAGGAAGATGAGGATGATGTGGCAGAGATAAAAGCTGCACACTTGGAGGAATCCATGAAATATGGTCGTTGAAGGGTTAGTGATCCAGACATCCGCAAATACCAGTTGTTTGCTCAAACCCTGCAGCAGTCACGTGGAATTGGATTGAATTTAGGTTTCCAGATCGACTTGAGAGCCTCACAGCAGGAACTTCAGACCCATTCTCTTCCACCACTCTGTTGGGGGCGATGATGATCTGTACAGTCGAAGTTATAGATATGTTAAATGTCCTTGGTGAAGAAAAGTAATGGACAAGTGTCTAAATTGTACCATGAGTGTATAAATTGTTAAAGACAAGCTTAAAAGATAAGAATAATTAATTCGAAATAATACAAATAATGCAAGTAGTTACAAAAAAGATGGGATAGAGATTTAAGTATACATTGTACGCTTTCATAAGGTGTTCAATGCACACACCCATCTGGGAAATCATATCTTGAAAGCATTGACCTGCCTGTGGCTTAAGGAGGAAGTCAACTAGTTCATCTCTTGGGAAGATGTTGGACACCTATGGACAAATGAAATTTGAGTATTTGCATGATGGATTCTCCTTCGTGTAAGAAGTTCAGAGTAGTGATGTTAGAATCAGTCGGAACTGTTGCTGGCTGTCCATGACATATACATCCATGTCTCCAGGCGCCTATTAATGACTTCTGTTTGGCCATCTAGTTGAGGATGGTAAGCAATGGAGTGTCAGAGAGTTTTTGGGATCATATAGACCAAATAATGATAGTAAGAGCTGTGAAATTTGTGTATTTCATTAACTGGTCAACCACTACCCATATAGAATTTTTTTTTTCAGTTGGCTTTGTGAGGTCTTTGATGAAGTCAATTGCTATTTCAGACCAAGGTGTGGGAGGAATAGCTATCGGCTATAAGAGGATAGGATAGGGCAGACAAATTTGGTTTACACTCTTGATAAATACTGCATTATCTAATAGAATTACGTTGTCTCCATTTTTGTTTTTAATAAATTGATGATAGTAGTCATGAGTTATTCTAAGGTACTTCAAACTATTATAATAGATGAGAATCAAGAATTTTCTCCCAACAGATAACGTGCAATTTTGTCACCGCAAATATAAGGGTCTTAATTTTTTTTCTGAATGTTGAGAGAAAAAAATTCTTTATGGGAAAAGTTTTACAGATACTCTCGTTTAAAAATTTATATAACTACACTTAACACTATATCTTAGGTGAGAAAAAAAAATTTTGCACACACACCTACCTCATAAGTCATCGTCTCTACCAAATACTCATCCCAATGACACGTCCACATATGTTTCTTCATCCATTCATTCTCCACCAATCCGCATACTTGAAAGCTTGCCCTACCAACCTGTTTTCTAAGAAATCTTATAAATAGTTAAATAAAAAAATTTATACAGATTTCATGCCCTTGGTGAGCATGATTTTTATGGGCTCCTCCCGAAAATTCGCTAATTACAAATTTTTTACCCATGTCATCCAGAATGAATTAGCAGGTAACCAGCATTTGTGCCAAATCCCTACTCCAATCTGAAAAACATCTAACTCAAAATAATATATAGTATTAAAATATGTATAGAAAATTAATAATTATTTGTTTTGGAATTGTTCCATTGATTGGATGTGAAGTTTGTTGTTGCTTTTGAAGGGTTATTACAAATACTACCATGGATTGGACAGTAAGGTATGTCTACTACACGTGGTGGGGCTTACATTGTTGCATGGAACACCTTCCTATCCTTAAATAATTATTTACACCCAATTATCTTCTCTTATATCTTTTTCACTCCACTCTCATCTCCTTCATCTTCTCAACTCAACCCTGTTTAACTTCAACTTTCAGTCTGCAAAAAGAAAAATTACTGAAACCCAACAGACAACCACACATACGATTATCACCTCCCAATCCATGGAAAATGACTACCCCTTGAAGCGACACTTTCTTCTCCCCTCCATTCCTCTGTCATTTCATCAAATTTCATCTCCATTATATCAGAAAATGATACTCTGACATGTATTTATAACTCATCAAATCCTTCTGTACACTCGTCGTTTGGCCATCCAAAACCCTTCACCATTCTACCTTTTATTATATATGTACGTACCTCTTAATTTATACAATTCCTATTCTGGGAGGTGAATCAAATCAATCTTAACCAATAAAAAATTGAATGACATGAATGGTAGCAATCACCTATAACTTATAATTGGTACTGGAGGAGGAAGATGAGTAATTAGCTAGAGAGCAATTTGAGGAACTTTGTAGACGTAGCAACTGTGCGGGAGTGACGGTGGAAGATGGGTTTGTCTGCGGCTTCTCTCCGGTGGTGGGTTTTTGGCCATCACTTCCTGTGGCGGCGGGGTCGTGTTTGATTTCTCTTAACAAAACGGCGACGTCTTTCATGGTGGGACGATCTTCTGGGCGGTTGCTGGTGCAGAGAAGGGAGATTCCTAGTGCTTGGAGCATCTCCTGGATTTGAGTATCGGGATGACCTTGGAGCTTAGGATCAAGGATTTCAACAGGGTCTTTCTTCCTCTTCAGGTGGTCTCGAACCCACTGGATCACGTGTTGACCTTCTGGAAATGATGGGTCAACTGGTTTTTTTCCTGTGATTATCTCCAGTAAAACGACGCCGTAGCTGTAAACATCGCTCTTCTCTGTTATTTTTAGCATGCAAGCATATTCTGTACAGAAACACAAAATCACGTCAACCATATAAATCTTCTAATCAAATAATTAAGATTCTGGATGGCAAAAGGTGTTACAATTGATTCGGGAAAACCCCAACAACGAAGTGACGACGACAAATAAATTTAAAAAGAAAAGGTTGGCCCATATATAATTTACCCAACATGATTAAATTTTGGCACCATGTATGCTAATGAATTAAGCTGAAAAACCCAGATTAATATGATACAAATTCAAGCACAGTGATTGATGTAAATCCAAAAACACCAATCTTTAATTAGTTATCATACAACAGTGAAATGGAAGTCTCAATCAATTATTATCACTGCCCTATTAACGCAATTGATCATTCCCCAGATCACTCCCAATAAAGCCAAATCTTTTTTGTAATTAATCCAAAAACTTTTTTGATTTCCGAAAAATTCTTCTCAAATTAACAGAGGAGAAAAAGAAAAGAAAAAATATATATATATATATTCCATGAACAGAAATCACGCATAATCAAGACAAAGGAGGTGTCACCTGGTGCCATGTAGCCGTAGGACCCAGCAAACTGCGGGTTAGCCGAAAACGAACCGCCGTTCTCGTCTTCAACCAATCGGGCGAGCCCGAAATCAGCCAAGCACGCCTCGTATCTATCTCCCAACAATATGTTATGAGCCTTTACATCTCGGTGAAGTATCGCTGGCGAGCAGTCATGGTGCAAGTAAGCTAATCCCTCGGCAACGCCTAATGCGATCTTGAATCGAATCTCCCAGTCCACAGACCCTCCGGAACCGTCGTGCAATAGCGCTCCCAGCGTACCGTTCGCCCTGTAATCGTAGAACAGCAGCTTCGTTTTCCGGTTTGCGCCCCACCCGAGCAATCTGACGATGTTCCGGTGACGGATTCTCGCTAGAGTCGCGATCTCTGATGAAAATGCCCCGGCTGATACTTTCTCCGACGACGGAAATCTCTTTACGGCTATGATTAATCCCGATGGAAGAGTTATTTTGTAAACGACGCCGGATCGGCCTCGGCCGATGACACTGCCTGGGGTGAGGCTCCGTGCCACGTCAGCTATACAAAGCTCTAGCTTCTGGAAAAGAGTGACCTCCCATGGCGGGCCCATCTCCACGTCATCGCTTCCTTCAATGTCGTTGCGGGACCCACCGCCTCGGCACTTGGGTCCGAGGATGATATAGAGCGCCGCCAGGAGGAGCGCGCACGCAGCGCATAGCAGGACTACCATCGCCACACGCGCCGCTGTGGCTCGTCGCGATAAGCTTCCTGGTTTACTTCCATCTTCTGCTGAGCAGTGGTTGCCCAGAAAACAGAGGAAGGGATTCGCGGAGAGAACACTGAGAGGAAGCTTAGCGAAGAAGGGCGTGTCTGGCACTCGCCCAGTGAAGTTGTTGTGGGAGATATTGAGAACCACTAGGTTTTGCATCTCCGAGAGGTAACGGAGGTCGCCGGAGAGCTGGTTATGAGAGAGGTCTAGGATCCCGAGCTTGTCTAACGCCGTGAACTCGGACGGAATCTCCCCGGACAGCTGGTTCCAGCTCAGGTTAAGTGATATTTCCAACGCCGGAATCTTCCCCAAGCTGCCCGGAATATTCTCAGACAGCTCGTTTCCACTCAAGTCTAGCAACTGCAACTTGCCGCAGGAGCCGAGTTGACTGGGAATGGACCCGGAAAATCGGTTATTCCTCAGGACGAGTTTAGTGAGTGAACTAAGAGTGCCGAGACTCGGATTCAGTGTCCCCTCAATCAAATTATCGGATAAATCAATAAACTGAAGCGACACGAGCTTGCCTAAACTATCCGGCAAGTTACTGGCGATCGAGTTGGAATGCAAGTCTACAAACGTAAGGTTTTCGCAACCTGAGATCTCCCTCGGTATGAATCCGGAGAGACGATTGGAACCGACGTCGAAGAAACTCAGTCTCTTCAGATTCCCAATCTGTGGAGGAATAGTCCCTGTTAACTCGTTATTACTGGCGCGAAACCGAATCAATGACGAGCAGTTTCCGATATCCGGCGGTATCTCGCCCGAGAGATTGTTGGAGAGGAGCAGTAGTTTATTCAATTTCGTGAGCTGGAAGATTCCTCTGGGTATGGAACCCGTGAATCCATTCTGGGAGAGATCGATGGCCTCGAGGTTTGCGCAGTCGGCAATGGAAGGTGGGATGCTTCCTTCGAGCTTGTTTTGCCAGAGAAACAAGAGGGTGAGATTGGATAAATTGCCCAACTCTGGAGGTACAGTGCCGGTGATTAGGTTGTTGTCGAGCTCGATGTGAGTGACCTGCAAACAATCACCGAGTTCAGGCGGGATTTCGCCGGAGATTTGGTTTACGCTGAGTTGAAGCTCTTGGAGCGAGCTGAGATTCCCAAAAGTCTTGGGAATGCTGCCGGTGAGGGAATTCATCGATAGGTCAATAACTTGCAATTGGTTGCAGTTGCCAAGCTCCGGCGGTATTATCCCCACCAGGTTATTTTGCCAGAGCAACAGGTTCTGAAGATTCCTGAGATTGCCTAATTTGGTAGGTATGGATCCGGAGAGTGAGTTCTCGTATAGGTAAATGTTTTGCAGGTCGGTGCAGTCACCGAGCTCCGGCGGGATCTGGCCGGAGAGATAGGCGGTGTATATTGCGATGGTTTGAAGTTTCTCGAGGAGACCAAGGGTTGAAGGAAGGAATCCGGAAATGCTTGTCTCTGCAAGTCCTAACATAACCAGATTGGCACAGTTCCCTATTTCTGGAGGCAGGGGACCCTCAAGGTTCTGATTGCCACCAGCTCTAATTCCCTGAAGATTCTTTAGGTTCCCGATAGTGCTGGGGATTCCACCACTTAGATGATTATCGTACAGAGTCAGCCATTTCAAGCTTGTGAGATTGCCAATTTGGATTGGAATAGAACCTTCCAGTTCGTTGGAATTGATGTAGAGTTCTTCCAGATTGCTCAAGTTGCAGAGCTCACTCGGGATTTCCCCTGTTAAGCTATTGTCACTTAAATCCAGGTACCTCAACTGGGGAAGAAGACTAATCTCTTTGGTAATTGGACCAGTAAGATTTGTACTCGAAAGAACAAGCTTGGAGAGTGTCTGCAATGAGGTGAAATTAGAAGGTAGTGTTCCAAACAAATTGACATCCTTCAAATTCAATTCAACAACCTGGTTATTGTTGTTGCAGGTGATCCCAGACCATGAACAGGGAGTTTCATCATCTGGGTTCCAATTATCCAAGGCCAGAAGGGATCCATTGAAGTTGATCTTCCATGAAAGAAGAGTCTGAGCTTGTGGGTTGAGAGCCAGAGATTGAAGAGAGAAAAGAAGAAATAAAAGAGAGAGGAGGAGAGAGGATGAGGAGGAGAAGAGGGTGCATGGATTTACAGGCATTACAGCTACGAGTACAGAGATTAGGAACAGAGGAAGAAGAAATGTGGGAGGGACAAGGAGAGAAACCAAATCATGTCTTGTGGGCTATGTGTTTTAAAAACTAATTGAAAGACCCAGAATCTCTGGATCCAAGAAACAGCTAGGCCATGATGTTTGTGCAGAGAGAAGTGGAATTTTAGATGGGTGTTTTTAAGATTTGTTTATGGTGGAAAGGAGGTGTACTAAAACGGGATAACTGTTTATACACACACACACACACACATATATATATATATGTAGATAGTATATTATAATTTTGAATCAAAAGGAAAGAACTAGAGAGAGAGAGAGAGAGAGAGAGGGGAGGTTGAAATCGAATCTGTAATTTTTTTAGTGATTGGGAACTGGCAAACTCTTTCATCTGTTTCTCTGGGCTTTCATTTTCTCTGCACTTTGTTTGGCCACTTCATTTTAGCGTATCTGGCTCTTCATTGTTCTTTACAGTATTCGCCCTCCCCCGTTTTAGATCTTCTTTCTTCTTCAACTGCTCTTCACAATATATTCATATTTTATATATAATTTTCATCTAATTCACAAAATTACATAATCATTTTACAACACTTATAATCTTATCATAGCAGTTTAGTTTTTATTTGAAAAGGAATTTTTCATTTTCTGCACATCCTATCATGGATTACTAACTATATCTGGTCCCCCAGAAAATTCAATTATTTTGAGGTTCTTTTTCATGAAATACTGATATTCATATGTATTATTAAATTAATTTCTCTCTTGTAATAGAATTAATGGGATGATCAGAATTATCTTACTTATTTTTATTTATATTTTTATTTTTTATAAAATAATTAAAGAGATCATATATAATGTGTGAGATCGTAAGAGACCTTTACAAATGATAATTACGCCGAACGTGACTATAAAAGTAAAACATTTCTCCAATGCTAAAAATCTTTTTGAATCTTACGTGAAATTTTTGTGATATATCAAGAACTCGTGTACGGGTGTCGCTAGAAGCTTAAGAATAAATAATTAATCATTTTACAAGTACACTACTTAATTGCTAAATAATTATGAAATTTGACACATCATCTAATTATTAAGTAGTCAAGGTATGATAATGAAATTGAAGCAAATAAGTTATGACAATGAATAGTATCTGTCAGTACACGTATATACACACACACACACATATATATATATATAAGTTGAAAAATAAAAAATGGTGAGAAATGGAAAGTAATTAATTAAATTCAAGTTATGCATGAACACTAATCTACTTAAATTAAATTAACTGCAATCGCATTGATCCAAAATAAAACTTTAAAGATTGTGTAAAGCTGCTAATACAATTTCTTTTTGAAAAAAGAATAATGCTGCATTAAGAAGTGTATTAAGTCTGTTTTGGCTTTTAAATCTTAAAAAGGAGAGTATAGATTTGAATCCCATTTGTTTTTTAGTATGTCTTTTTATTAAAAAAAATTAACTGTATTATTTTCCGTATTAATAAATAAAAGGAGAGCTCATAAATATTTATAATGTAAAATCAATTTTAAACTAAATAAATATATATATATATAAAATAAAATTGTAATAATAAATAAATATACATTTATCTCATACATTATCCAAATGATGAGAAAAGATGTATTTTACATTCCATATAGATAATAATTAAAAATATTATTATTTTTTGTACATAAGTTCTTAACTATATATAATATTATTTAATTATTAAAATATATAAATTTTTATTTTAAAAAAAAAAATACTAATTTTACCCAAAAACATAAAATCCTAATAATTAAGTTTTAAAATCCCACTTACTTTATGATGCGATCTATGACAAGATCCAGGTATATGCTTATACTGTAAATCAGATAATTATAATTATTTAAATTAAACCTAAACAGTGCAAAACCCTTTTCTTATTATTATTTTTTAAAAAATTTTGTGTAACCCACCAAATCCAATTTTGTAACCATTAGAAATATTAAAAATAAAATCAAGTAAAATAAATAATTGGAGTGGTCTGGTTAGCTCCTCACAAAATCTGATACCCTTTTCTAATTAATAATAATTATACAAATCCCTATTCAGTATTCTAATAATTTTTATAGAAATCCTTTTTAAAAAGAAAAAGAAAAACTGATGGGGTCACGTGATGTCGTGTTAAGACATGCCATGGTAAGAATAATTATGATTTGTGCTGTTATATATATATATATATATATATATATATATATATATATACTGTCTGGGTTGGTTTTATTTTAGTGAAATCATGCTAACAAGTGTGTAATTAAGAATCTAAGCACGAGAGTGACCGGAGATTGCACATGAAAGTGAGAATAATTTAAGTAGGAAGAATGCAAAGCTGCCAAGGTGTAGGACAGCTTTTAGGTCATGGTCTTTATTTTTTTAGGGTTCTTCTTGGCAATGGCCAAGAAAAGGGACATCAAAAAAGCAACATCTCTTCTATTATTACATATATATATATATATATTGGTGAAAAATTATTTCTTAAACTACGGTTAATTATAATAAAGTAAAATATATGTAAAAATAAAATAAAATTTAATATGATTTGACAAATATATTTTAAATTCTAATTTGATATATCTCTGTGCAAAATTGAAAAAAAAAAAATTTTACTATCAAATGAGATAGTATATCACCAATAAAATTATAAACCCTTATATAAAAAAATTACGAAAGTTTTTATCTTACAAAATTTTTTAAAATATACATAAAATATTCTCTAAAATAAATATAAAATATTCTCTTAAGATTAATATAAATTTTTTAAAATAAATATAAAATATTTCTTAGTATATATGTAATATATTTTTAAAATCAAATTACATCAACATATATATATATATATATATATATATATCTTTCCATACTCACTAAAAATTACCACCGCCTACGTATAATTTTATCAAAATCTTGTTCAATGCTTCTAACAATATGGTAGATTGGTGGGTCAAAAAAATTATGAATTTAATACAATACATTAATTTTTTACTGGTGATTAGTTGATATTGTTAGTTCTATTAATTTGTTTTAACACATAAGATTGTACTTTATTTAGCACGCAAATCTCATATTAGCACTAATTTTCTGTTATATTTTGCGAGCTTCTTCTGTTCGTTCTTGTATACAAATGAATAACAGCTTCTGCTACAAAAACCGATAATAAAAAAAAGGGCATACAACTATAATTTCAAAATTCGAATTCTTCTTTATATTCTTTAGTTTCAATATGGTATCGTAACAAAATAATTTTCTTCCTCTTTGATTTCTCCTCTGTTTTATTTTTCTTCTACCAAACAATATTCTATTCCTCTTTTAACTATCTTCAATGGCAACTCCTAGTTTAATGACTTTTAAATCAGAAGAATCTCTTTCTAGTCCTTATTATTTGCATCCAAATGAAAACTCATCCCTAATTTTAGTTTCACCAGTTCTTACTGGATCTAATTACCATTCATGGAGTAGATCTATGAAGATGGCTCTTCTGTCTAAAAACAAACTCAATTATGTATGTAACACCCAAATTTATTATTTTTATTTTTTAATTTATTTTAATTTATATTAAAATTTTAGTTTAATATTTTAATATTTAATTTATAAGGTTTTAATTTAATTTAATTTAATTTAACAAAAATAAAAATAATAATAATGATAAAATAGAGTAAAATTATTTTTGGGATTTAATTGAAATTGATTTTAGAAAAAATGGATGAAAATTTGGATTCTGTGGTGTTTTTGAAAAGAAAATCGAAAAACGGGGGTCAAAACGTAATTTAAAAAAGTTGTGCCACGTCAGCAACCCAGTCAGCAGCCCCGGCCAACCAAAACACGCCGCGTGGCAAGGAAGCTGACATGGGAGGCCACGCGGGACGGAGCCATGTGAGCGATATGCGTGCACGCAATCGAACGGTCCAGATCTCACGCGTGCGGACGGCCCAAATCTCACGCGCACGGATGACCCAGATCTCACGCGTGCGGACGACCCAGATTGAATCACGCACGGACGGTCCAGATCACATCGCGATGGACGGTCCAGATTAAATTGTGATGGATGGCTGAGATTAAAAGGGGAAGGTTATAAATAACCTCACCCACACCCGACTCCAAACCCTAGCCACCAGTGCCCTCGTCGGAGAAGAAGAACCAGTCGCCGGAGGAGCCGGCCGCCGCCACCCGCAACCGCATCGGAGGATTTTTCGACTGCCAAACGAGGTAAATTTTCTCCCCTTGGCTCGTTTTTTGAAGCTGAATCCGCTTATGGCCAAATCGGAGCCAAACCACCAGCCAATCGGCCGAAAAATACCGCCGAAGTCCAGCGGTGCTGCCGTGGCTTCCTTCGATTTTTGCCTCCAATGAGGTCCTTTCTGGTTCCTGTTTGATGCAATTTTTACATCACTGTGATCACATTCCTTTTCTCTACAAGTTGACCAGAGCAAAACATCAAACTGCGACTCGCGCTGGAGAAGCCGTCGCACCTGAGAGCTCCACCGCCGGTAAGTCTCGATTTTTCGTGATTTTTTGGCCCACCGAGGGCCTTAGGTTGTTTTATCGTAGGAACCAAAGCAAGTTTGGCCGAATTCGACCGAAAACGGCCAACCCGAGGCGAATCGCCGCCGCGGGCGGTGGTGCCGTCGCTGGAGCATGGCGGAGCCACCGTGCCGGAATTCTGATATTGGCCAAAAGATAGCCCTAGGTTTGATTTGGGTTTTTTTGGGACATGCGCAGGTACCGGTAGTGTGTTTTAGTTTCTTAAAAAAAATTCAGAGAATTTAGGGACAGCCCGTAGGCGCATTATAGAGCCGATTTCAGACCCCGAAACAAGTAAGGATCTCTCACCCTATTTCCTATCATGACATTAAAGCCTAATAAATGATAAAATGGTATTTTATGACTTAATAAATATGTATAATTGATTAAGGTTGCCAATGGAGCCTGAATCTGATATATTGTCGGTCAGTTGTTGTTTGATCTATTTTATAGTTTTAAATGTAGTATGGTATTTGATGTATTTATCTTATGATTTCGTATGCATGAATCATGGTTTCTTTTATTATGGTTTGAATTATGGTAAAGTCGATGTTGTGTTGTTTTGTTTGGTATTCATTATTGGTTTACGTGTTTGCGTATGATTGGATAATTGAGACCAAGGAAAATGAAAAAAAAGTTATGTGAATTGATAAATAGATAATGTGGACAGCATGACTAGATATCCTGGGAGATGGTGGACGGACCGGATCCGTAGGGAACCCTACTGCGAACGTGGTCTCTCATATCGGACGGGGTATGGAGACCTTATGTGTTTTGGCGCCCATACTGGACGGGGTATGGGGACGGCCCGTTTCACCCTCATACCAGACGTGGTATTGAGGTTTATGGTTTTTGCGCCCATACCG